GGCGACACCTTAACCCCAAAACGGTGACAAGTGGACTTGCTGGTGCTTGCGGCGACAGTTTGCCCCCCTAGGTACTCGGTATCCATGCGACCTGCCTCATCTTTCTTGATATGTCAGCCGGCGAGACAGAACAAGACAGAAGCCAAAAAGAAAGCACCAGGCTTCTCAGTCGAGAATCTTTGCAGGTCCGGTGCTTCGGGAAGGAGAGAATTAGTGTACAGGCCCCCACTTCACAGGGCAGCAACTGCCAGGAACATGCTAAGGTAAGGGAAATCTCGAGGCTTTCCAGTGGTACAACTTCTGAGGGACAGCCCAGCCCAAGGGCCCTAGACTGCAAGTGACGTGCCTATCACGTCCCTCCAAACCCCCGCCTAATCCACTAAAGCCCTTGCGAATTTTCCCTTTTAAAATCATTTTCCCCTCCATCCCGCCAGAGTTTGACGCACTGCACACAGAGGGACGCTCATCTTTTGCCTCCTTCATCTCTCTTTCTTTTGCGCATCCTGCAAATTCACGTTTGCGCGCAACAAACCTCCCTATTCCAAACAATCAAAAATATACTCAAGCAACCTCTGAGGCAAAAATCAAGCAAAACCCACCACTTTCGCACACGACATTCACCATGGCGAGCGTCGATGTTGCTGCCCTCGGCGCCGTTCCTGCAAATGGAGGGGCAACGACGGCTTCCCACCCCTACACCTGCAACACCTGCTCTGTTGCCTACCGAAACATCGACCTTCAGCGAGGCCATATGAAGAGCGACTGGCAGTATGTTACTTTCATTTCCCTCCTTCCCAGAGTAGTTCCTTCTGCTTTCTAGGCCCGGCTTGTCGTCTTGTTTCCGCTGTGTTCCGCCCAGACCAACTGACATCATCTACCCAGCCGATACAACCTCAAGCGCAGAGTCGCCTCCCTTCCTCCTATTGCCTCCGAGGTCTTCAACGAAAAGGTCCTCCAGGCTCGCGCCGTTCAGACCGCTGAGGCAGAGAAGGCTCTCTTCGAACGTTCCTGCGACGCCTGCCAGAAGTCGTACTCGAGCGAGAACGCCTACCAGAACCACTTGACGAGCCAGAAGCACAAGGTCCGTGTCGCTGCTATTGCTAGACGCAAGGGCGGTGTTGCCGATGATGCCAGCTCCGTCATGAGCTCCACCTTCTCTCTTGGTGAACCTATCGCCGTCGATAAGGAGAGCGAGTTGGATTCCGAGGCCGAAGAGGAATTCACTCAGGTCGTCGAGGGCCTGAAGAAGACCAACATCCACGAGTCCCACGGCGAGCGCCCCTCACCCGTCAAGCGCCCCTCCAACCCCCACCTCTCTGCTCAAGGTCAGCGCGAAGACGTTAACATGAACCGCGACTCCGAATCTGCAACCCCCGTGCAGTCAAAGCCAGAGATCGCTTGGACCATCAAGTCCTGTTTGTTCTGCAACTACGAGTCGCCCAGCGTTTCGCTCAACGCCAACCACATGGAGCGATTCCACGACATGTTCATTCCCGAGAAGCAGTACCTTGTTGATCTGGATGGCTTGCTTCAGCATTTGCAGGAGCGCGTCCACGATGGTCACCAGTGCCTGTACTGCTTCAAGACCAAGAAGACGGCTTTCGCTGTGCAGACTCACATGCGTGACAAGGGCCACTGCAAGATTCCGTACGATACAGAGGAGGTTCAGCTCGACATTGGTGATTTCTACGATTTCCGAAGCACCTACTCTGATGGCGAGGACTCAGACGAGGAAGAGGAAGAGGCCGATGAGAATGGTGGAGCCAAGTTGGGTCTGAAGCGCCCGACGAAGTTGGTTGGGGAGGACGGCGAGGAGGTTGAGGAGGGTGGAGATGATGGCTGGGAGACGGACAGCTCGGCTTCTTCACTTGACTCGGATGAGCTGACGGCCTTCACCGCGGACGGCAAGTACGAACAATTCGAGCGCCTCGACAAGCACCCTCATCACTCTACCAACGATCCGCGTGCCCGCCACCAGGCCGATGGCTGGCACTCACACGCCCACAAGCACACTCGTGCTGTCTTCTACGACGAGTATGAGCTGCACTTGCCCTCTGGCAAGGCAGTCGGTCACCGCTCTCACAACCGATACTTCAGACAGAACCTCCACAACTACCCTACCGAGGAGGAGCGCGCCGAGCGTCTGGCCATTGAGGCTGGTTCTGGCTCGGGCGATGAGATGGATGTTGATGGTAGAGAGGTCGCCACCACCGGCGATCGCAAGACTCGCAACCGTGCCATCGCTCGCAGAGATGCTGCTGGCATGGCTGGTGCGTCTGACAAGCAGAAGCGCGTTGTTAGACAGGAAGAGGTCAGAGGCCGGAGCACCGCCACCCGTCACCAGAAGCGCTACGACTACGGAGTCAGCGAGAAGTTGAACAACCAGAAGAACTTCTACTACCGCTACCAGGCCGGTGGTTGATCAACTCGCCAATCGATTCTGGATGAACAAGGCGTTGGACGGATTGATTTTGTATTTTGCTGAATTACATTGAACCTTCAAGGGAATGGGCATGCATGATGAGCTTTGATGAACCATGCATAGGGAAGGTAGAACAGAAATAGAGGCCATTATTGCCACAAGATCGCAGAGACTTTGAAGTGAGATGATGTTAGTTGTGACAACTTGTTCGATGTAGGGGTGGCGACGGTGGGGGTTTGGCGATTAATTATGCATATAACGAAACGTCTCTATGCGTTTGTTGCATTATCCTAAGCAAACTCGGACCTTCGCACACCTTCCACCATTCCCTGAGCTCTCCCATCCACAAGTATCATTCGGCACCATTGGCAATGAATATCAAATTTTCAGAACAATAATCTGGTTCTCATGTTTGGCTCGTGAAAATGTTCAAACACATATGCAACTGCCGTGCCTTCGCTCAGCGGCCGCTCCTGACGTCGCAGCGATGGATGAGCAGCAGGCCGACTTACAACGCATGGCTACCCCAACCAGATGCTGACGGTTGGTACGATGGGCGGAAACACCCAAGACGACTGGAAGAGTTCGACAACGGGAAGACTCGCGCAAGGGAGGACCAGCGCGTACGGGCGAACACTAGGCTCTCGCCCCCATCGCGGTCGGGCGGTACACCTGCTAGACGGTCAGGCAGCGACTTCAGCTCAAGAAGCTCTGGTGATGCGTCTCGTAACGAACGTGGACAGGATGAGAGGTTCTCAACATCATTGTCGAGGAGGAGTCCTCCCCGGCCAAGGAGGTCACACAGGGACGATGGACCGCCGGCACCCAAGAGGAAGGGTGGCGGTTTTGTACTAATGGTGAGTTGAAGCATTATCACTCTTCTTTCCCCAAAAAGGGTTCATACTCGGAGGGCCCATACTGATATCCAGCCAGCCGAAACTATCTCAAGAAGAACTGGACAAGATCAGCAAACCCAAGGACGTCTGGGAAGCCAGATCACTCTACTTCGTCCCCCCCAAGAGATCAAAAGAACACCAGAAACCCACCCGGCAACCCAAACCGCCAAAACCCGAACCCTCCCGAAGGAACCGCGACGCAGCAGCCATGATCGCCAGCCCAGACGCCATCAAAGCAGCAATCTCAATCTCAGAAAAGGACCTCCGCCTAGCGCGGAGACCGCCCCCGCCGCCCCCCGAAATCGAACTCGAGGGCGACGGCGGCAGCCTCGTCGCGGACCCCATCGCCAACGACGACGTCCTCCCGCACGCCCTCGCCGCCCGCTTCTTCCTGTCCCCGCCCGCGACGTTCCTGTACTCGGCCTTTCGGCTGAAGCACCACCCGCTCAACACCACCACGCCCGAGATCTGCGTCGTCGGCGCCAGCAACTGCGGGAAATCGTCCTTCATCAACGCCCTCACCGGCGCGGCGTCGCTCGCGAAAGTAAGCGATCGCGCGGGCAAGACCGTCTCCATGAACGCGTACGGCGTGGGACCCTTGACAGGCCTTCCTTTCCGGAAACCAGTCGCCTCCCCTCCTTCTTCCTCGTCCGAGGGCGGCGGCGTCACAAAGGAAGAGAAACCAGAACACGGCATCATCCTCGTCGACACCCCCGGCTACGGCTACGCCTCCCACGAAGAATGGGGCCGCGAAATCGTCGAATACATCAACAAGCGCACCATGCTCCGCGGCATCGTCCTCCTCCTGTCCTCCGAGAAAAAGGTATCCGAAAAGGACGCGCAAATCGTAAAACTCCTCGCCGACGCCGGCCGCCCCGTGATGCTCGTCTTCACCAAGATGGACAAAGCGCTCTCCCGTAAGGCGCGCGAGGAAGGCGGCATAGCGCAGCGGTTACGCGAGGCGGAGCGCTGCTTCGCGAGGACGGGGTGGGATGGCTGGGTGAAGAGGGTGTACATCACCGCGGCGCGGATGGAGCGCGATAAGAGCTGGAAGGTGGATGAGGGGACGCGGAGCGGTGCGGCGGGGATGGCGGGTGTGAGGATGGGGGTTCTAGAGTTGGCGGGTGTGAGGGAGTTTGTTGCGCCTGAGAAGGCTAGCAAGATGGTCGCTCAGCGGAGGGCGGCGCAAAAGTCGCAAAAGACGCAGGACAAGGGCGGGGAGGAGGAAGAGGAAAAGAGGCTGGAGCCGGGTAAGGCTTTGGAGAGTGATCCGGCAGCGTGGTCTGGGGACGTGGTTTCGTTTGAGGAGCTGGAGAAGAAGTTTGGGGACTGGAGTTCGTGAGCGGCCGGGGGACAGGGGACTTTTTGTACGATCATGTCTGTAGGATAGTGTGATGTGATTGAGTATATTGGAGAAAAGAGATACCCTCTAGAGAAAAATGCAACTCATCGTCAGTACGCACGGATTGGGCACGCGAGCATTTCACTCATAAATTTCGGGAGACCCCATCGATGAACCAACGCTTCGACAAGTTCCATCATATGGGTATTCTAACTAAGACAAAATTGCAAAAAGGCCTTCGTCGACCATGAGACATTCCCTGAGAACTCCTTGGTTCCTCCGTTTCAGTATGAAATCTCAAGTGAGTGACACGAAAATGGTGCAGACTGGTTGTCCACTACTACTCCTTCTCCTTCTCCTTTTCCTTGTCTCCCCCCGCCCCTGAGACGGTCGAACGCGCCGTGCCCGGCCTGCTAAGCTGCCGACGAATCTTCTTCGCATTCTTCGACTCAAACAGACTCTTCACCCTTCTGAGACGCGCCCAACGCTCCTTATCCTTAGCTTCTCTTGACTGTTCGTCCTCATCGCCGGCTGGCTCGGTAGCAGCGCTCGGTGAGTCGTAACCCCCTGGTGTCGAGGGTGCCGCAGCGCCCCTCCGAACCGGCGTTGAAGGCACCGAGGCACCTCTATTATGCCACGTGGACCTGTTCTTCGGCCGGTCCTCGAGCGCTCCGCGAAGGTAAGCGTCATTCTTCAGTACCTGCGTCAGCAACTTCCAAGCCGCCAAGGTCGTGTCTGAGCCGGGCTTCGCGCTGCCTAGACGTTGCGCCACAGGATTCTTCCAAGGGCAGAAGAAACGGTGCTCCTTGACTGGATCAAGATGATCCATTGGCGCGGGAACGAGAATCTCGCCGTCGGCGCTGACCTCCTTACTCTTGAACATCCAAAGGCCCAGACGTCGCAAGCATGTGTGGCAGGATGCTGAATTTGGCACCGCACCGATGCGGGGATTCGTGAGACCCTGCCACCCCATCATTGCCAAAGCCAAAGCGACTCTGTTTGGCTCCTTTGGATCCGGAGAGTCCTTGGTCGGCGGTGGGCTTGTGAAGAAGTCTTCCGGCAGCTGGGCTAGGACGCTGTCGACGTTGAGACCCTCGGGCAACCTCAAATTGAATTCATAGGGAAGGAAGGGTTTCCTTGCACAGAGCTCGTCGTAACGTGTCCGCAAAGCCTCCATACTTATTTTGGCATTGGTTAAAGACAGCCGGAGCAACGAATCTGGGAAAGTCAGGTCTTAGTTCCGTCAATAGGGTCTGGAGATACTTACTATCACACCCCTGTTTTCTCCATAAACATTCCTCCAGATGTGCCGTGACAATAAGATCGGAGTATCTTTCTATTAACGCTTCCTCTGCTTCACCAATCAGTTCTGAGTAGCAACGAGGACTGGCAACCATGAACCTACCGACGTCCGATGCCACAAGGACAGGTACCTCCTTGCCATCAACTTCGCGTTTGTTGAGCTTCACAACGAGCTCCTTATTGCAGAGCGAACACCGCACACGGTCCTTCCCCTGGCATACCCATCCTCGCTTTGCCCATTCAACTTCATTCACTGCATCGGGTTTCGGTGTCCAGTCTGTAATCTCCTGGAACGATGCCAGTCTCTTCAGGAGCTCGTTTCGGTCGCTGGGTGCAAACTTTGGGGCGTGCTTGATTTCCGTCACGTTGGCAGACCTTGGAACCCACTTCTTCAGAGATACGTTCGAGAAGGTTGTCGTCGCACCTGCTCCGGTAGCACGAATTGAAGGAGAGCTGTTGATCGTAGCGGCATTCTTCTCGGTCAGTGCTTGCAGGCGCCGACGCTTTAACAAGATATCCTCTTCAATCGACATGCTCGGTTTTACAGAGGTATCGGCCGTTGTGTTCGTGTTTGTAGAATTCGTGTTGGAGGGCTGGAGGGAAGTCGTCGACGGACGAGGGGATTCGGAAGGCAAACTCGTGGTGTCGTTCGATTTTGTAGAAGCGGATGATCTACCCATACCCTGGATGAGGGCGTTGAACTTTCGTTTGGTAGCATTCATTGTCGCTGCGTGTTTCGATGAAACCGGGGTGGTGGATGTAAGGAAAGATGTCTGATCTGACCTGGCCCCAGGCGCGAAGATCAAAAGACCAGGAAGAAGACGACGACGGACAAGGTCGGTCGGTTTGGTTTCTTGTGAAAGCTCGGGTTTGGTTGTTTAGAGCGGCTTTCACTCGGAGTCCTTCGTCATTTGCGGTATACTGCACCATTAGATGGATTTCCCAGGAAGAGGATGGCGCTCGGTCGCTAGTCGAAGCCTAGACGCCCAGCTTTGCGAAAGTCAACAAACGGCCAGTCGCTGATCGGGCAATGAGCTGGCCACCCCTGTCGCGTGGATGCAAGCGCTAAGGTACGAGGCGTGGCAACGGGTTACCACTGGCGTACCTCAAAATACGGATAAATGCATAGACCAGCTTCATGTATATCGACTGATAAGATAAGAACTTTTCGCAATGAAAGTGAGAGGTCGGGAAGAAAAAAAAGTTGCGAGCAGGGATCCCGACACTAAAATTTTGGAGACACCGATCCGCCGGCGCAGAGATCCCACAGAAATTTTCCCAGGTGAGGGAAGACCCAGGACGATTACATTCTCACCGAGGAATTTGCGACTCGCCGGCTCTTTCCCCCTCCACTTACCTTGTCTTTTTCTTGCCCATTGCGACGGATAAGAGCCATCTTCTGGCACAACACACATGTCTGCGCCTCCATCTTGGCTATTCTCCAACAACTTCACAAAAACCAATAACGCAAGCACCCCTACGGCTTCCGCGACAACGCAAACAGACAAAATGGGCAAGGTTAAGAAGTCCGAGAAGAAGGTCAAGGCTGAGGCTACCTCCACCAAGCAGGCTCCTCCCGCCCAATTGATGGACCTCGTCGACTCCTTCCTCTCCGAGAACGCCTTCACCTCCGCCCACGAGGCCTTCCAGAAACAGCGCTCCAAGAGCGGCTGGAAGCCTTCCAAGAAGGAGGCGGCCCAGACCAGCCTCGTCACCGTCTTCCAGACCTGGCAGACTTCTTCCACCGCTCCCACCACTAGCGAGAGCTCTAGCGACAGCAGCTCAAGCGAGGATGTGGACATGGCCGATGCGGCTGCTGCCGCTGACAGCGACAGCGATAGCAGCTCCAGCTCCAGCTCCAGCTCCGATTCCGACTCCAGCAGCGACAGCGAGAGCGAGGATGAGAAACCCAAGCCCGAGGCCAAGCAGAGCCTGAAGCGCAAGGCGCCCGAGTCCGACAGCAGCAGCAGTGATAGCAGCAGCAGCAGCGACAGCGACTCCTCCTCAGACGACTCCAGCTCTGAAGACGAGGCCCCCAAGGCCAAGAAGCAGAGGGTCAAGAAGGACGACAGCAGCTCCTCCTCCGACTCCTCATCCGATTCCAGCTCGGACAGCTCCAGCGAATCTGACTCCTCCTCCTCCGACTCAGACTCTTCCGACAGCGACAGCGACTCTGACTCCGACTCTGATGGCTCTGAGGCCGCAAAGGTGCCTCTTCCCGAATCCGGCTCCGATTCCGACTCCTCTTCTTCCTCTTCCGATTCGGACTCCGACTCAGACGCAGACACCAAGAAGAAGGCCAAGAAGGAAAAGGCACCCGCCGACAGCGCCTCCCTCTCCTCCGCAACCCTCGAGAAGACTTCCCCCGAGCTCAAGCCCGCGACCTCCACGGCCGCTGACCCGCCTCTGCCCCCCGACCCCATGACCTACCGCGCCAACAACCGCGGCGGCAAGAAGGAGAAGAAGGAGCCCAACAAGCCCTTCTCCCGCATCCCCGACGTCGTCTACGTCGACCCCCGCTTCGCCAGCAACGAGTACGTGCCCAACGACTACTCGCAGCGCGCCCACGAGGACCTCATCGTTACCAAGGGCAAGGGCTTCACCAAGGAGAAGAACAAGAAGAAGCGCGGCGCCTACCGCGGCGGCTTGATTGACATTTCTAGCAAGAAGGGCATCAAGTTCGACTAAGGTCCGCTGTCAGCCACGGTTTTCTTGATGACACATGCATATTCGGTTCTTGGAGTTTGGGATCCCGAAAAAAACAAGTCAATTTCTGCGTTCTAGTTTTTGGTGGTGAAAGTAAAAAGGGGAGGGCCGGTTTGACTTTGGCATTGCGTTTATTAGTCTGCTTCAGAGAGCTTAAAAGCATGACGGCTGATTTTTCTTCGAGAGGATGGAAAAAGACCAGAGAGGGAAAGAAAGACCTTGGTACGCGGCATAATCACTAGACTCGAGATCAGCTCCCGCGCAAACGTTTGCCGTGTAGATAGAAAAATCAAGACGTAGATTTGACGTTCTTTTCATGCGTCTTTCTCTACGGTATCCTGTGCTACTTATGCAAACAATCAGAGTGTCAGTGATCAATAAGTAAGTACCGAAAACCTGGCAGTACCTGACTGTGATGTACACCTCCAGGTACCGGATAACAGAGTTCTTTCTGACAGTCGTTGGACCGGTAAAAGTCCCCTCATACAGAATCAGGCTGAGATGTGCGACACAGAGGAGTTCCGGTGGCGCAGTAGGCCAAGATAGGTAAACGAGCAACAGGCTGCAGCCTGATCGATGGCGTGTACTCCGTGCCGTTTGTCCTCACCTCAATCTCAAACTGTTGGGGCCCGGACGGGACGGGACCTGGGCTCTGAGTTACCTATCCATCTCACCATTGCCTCCGTCGGCCCTTGACAGCAGCTTCTGAAGGGCTCAAAGAGCTCGCTCGTTTCGGGAGGATCAAAGGGCAGCAAGGGTAAAGGTAGGACACGAGAGACGTTGGGATGAGATGAGACGAGATGAGATGAACGAGTGGGGAATGGACCAAAAAGAAGAACTGGCCCGGAGCAAGGCTCGCGGAGGAGAAGTCCCGGTGAAAGTTGGGTTCCGCGGCGGTCGATTTCTTGGCTGGGCGGAGGGGAGGGGGAGGGGGGAGGAGAGGAAGAGAAGGAGGGGGTATCATGTTGGCCGGCTGGTTCACTACCTATCAACTAACCTTAAAAATCCTAATTCTGGGCTGGCAGGCCCTGATCTGAGTCGAGGAGTGAGTTGATATCAATAAATGAAGACTCGGCCGAGATAATCTTTGCAAGTCAAGTGCTTGGACACACCTTTACATGGAAGAAACAAGTTGTGTGGCAAAATACATAATGGAAGAGAAAGAGGAACGGCCCGTCGTCGCAGCTGACGCCAAGACTGTTACCATCCACGATGCGGCCCCCAACCTCGTATGAGTTACGCAATAGGCAGAAATCACACACGTCGACTTGGTCCTTCATTCGTCAGTTTTGTTACAGGTCTGGCAGTGTCCTTTCGATCCTCATAAAGACATTCATCGTTAAATCTTCTAAAAAAAAATGAATAAAAAACTTTCCCGTATCTGTCCCATGGTATTTCCAGAACAGACCAAAGAAAAGCCGGGCATGTCGATTGCTCCAGCCGAATTTCTACTCTGGAATCTCTAACGACAAATCCCTGAACTCTTCAAGAATCCATTCCAAGAATAGCTCCCAACGCTTCTCCCATTCCTTCCGCACACTCGCGAGCTCATCTTTTGACATGCAAGAGTGCTCTAGACTCCACTCAATGAGCTGTCGCCAGCCGTGCAAAGTCATGTCCGTCTTACCCACCATCGCTTGATAGAAATCATGTGAAAGAGTTGATCTGTGTGGTCTCTGGTTAGCTTCTTGCTGCCTTATGGCTTGATGCAAAACAGGAGAAGGGCATACCTGAATATTGTTCCGTTATCTGAGTTTAAAGTGCAGTGTACGTTGTTGGCGAGCAAGTTGTACATTGCGTGGCCCGTAATCCGGGGTGTAAGACCAAGCTCCTCGTTGGAGATTGGGCACACCTCAAGGCAGATACCCCTTTTCTTCATGTGCTCCATGATATAGGGGTGCCTGGCCAGAGCAAATCCGTGGCCGATGCGCTTTGAGTTGAGCAAGAGCGCATCCACAAGGTTGCCGTCCGTGTCGTTGCCAATGTCTGTCGTCTCTCCGCAATGAAAGAGAAACGGAATGTCAACTTTAGGCTGAGATTCCTCACATCTCTTCCGGAAGGCGAGAAACTCTGTAACGAAATGTCGCAGAGGATGACCTTGCGATTCTTCGCCAACCAGATCAAATCCTGTTTTATCAGTTAGTTGTCTGCTCAAGGTATAGCGGCGTTCAAGGACTTACCAGCGATCCACTGGGGCCATTCCCTCTTGAATTCGAAACACTCGTCGAGCGCAAATGCAACCAGTTCCGTGGTAAAAGACCTCGGAGTGCAGTAGATGACCTTCAGCCCGCCAAAGTAGTCTTTGGTCTCCTTCTGAAAGTTGTCGTATTCTTCTATGATGATTTTCATGATACCCCTATTGTCGATTTGCCTCGTACCGTCATCAGTCCAGAGTTGATTTGTCTGCATGAAATTAGGCCGAATCTCGGCATACTGAATGTTGTCGCGGACGAAATCTTCAAGAATGCCCCGTGTGTATTTCCGGTATGCACTCTCATAGTTGAAGAGCCCCTTCATCATGCGAGTCCGGCCGTTGAACTTCTCCCATGCTCCCTGAACTGTTTGAAGCGCGTTATGTGCTTCATCTTCGTGAAAGACAAGTTTGCTCGTTAGCCACTCCTCGGCCTTCATGCCGTTGTAATGCTTGGGGAACTCTTTGATAAACTCTGAGTATTTCATCATTTGTCGGTGATGATAGTCGGTCTTGAAAAGGTTTCCCTTAACTTCGTCTTCCTTTTCGAGCGGCAAGATGGAAAACTGGATTTCACAACGGTGAAGGTTAGTCTTTGCCGCGCTCGGTGCCAACGACAGATCGCTTTTGATAAACATGCGGGGCATGGTCTCGGCAATGCCCAGCAACACATGAGGCTGTAAGCAGGCGTTGAAATGAATATGAAGGTGTGCTCCCTTTGGCATCTTGACGGCAACTCGGAATAGACTCGTTTGGTTGATTAAATCGACGTTGGATAGGAAATGGTCAGCAGCAAATCGCGCATGTTTCTGACCACCCCATCCT